TGATATAGGACAAAGGTATCACTGAATATCAGTGGGAAAAGACAAACTTCAATAAGCAATTGCTGAAACAAATGGGTATGTGTAAGAGAAAAAAAGAAAAAGAAATATGATCCCTATTCAAAAGCTATACATAAAATTAATTCCAGATGGATTAAAGACCAAATGTGAGAGTATCTTTATAACTCTGAGATGGACAAGTCTGCCAAACTGAGACACAAGGAACAAACAAAGAAATTAATAAATTTGCCTTGTCAGATTATAAATTTGTTTTTTAAAAACAGATATTATAAACAAAGTAAAAAGACAAGCCACAAACTGGGAGAAGATATTTATCACTATACAGTCAAACATAATACATTAAGAACTCTGAAAACTAAGTTTAAAAAAAGGCAACATCTTAGTAGAAAATATTGGCAAAAGACATGAATCGGCAGTTCACAGAGAAAATAAAAACGGCCATTAAACATATGAAAAAATGCTCAACTCCATTAGTAAAGTTAATTGGCAAGTAAAACCATCATGATATAACATTTTACACCCACTAGACAAGACAAAGTGTTGGCAATGATATGAAACAACAGGATGTCAAACCCTGATGGATGACTGATACAATCACTTTGGAAAACAACTTGCCACATGGTAGCTGAAGAGCAGTACATGCTCATCATGATACCAGATTCACCAGAGGAAACTTCTGTCCCAAGTGGTTTGCCAGGGGTACTAGTGGAAGGAGTATACTACCACTGGAAGTGTTTGCAATTACCAGCACATGGCAATATTTAAAAAGCAGATGGACTTCTACTGGGCTTAATTACTTTTTCAAATTCTCTACAGCATCGCACCACTGTCTCACTGCTTGTACCTGGGATAAACCACTCCTACTCCACTCTGGTACACTATTACTTACCCCCATACACTGAAAGACATGTAAAAATATGTTCATAGCAGCAGTATGTTCAGTAAATATTTACCAACAGAGGATGAAGAAATGAATTTAATATATTCCTGCAACTGTATACTATAAAGCAGTGAAAATAAAATACACGTATCAACAAACAATGTCGATGGGAGAATGCAAGTCACAGAAAAAAGGGAACAAGTTAACATTTTCATAAAGTTCAAGAGCACACAAAACTATCTTTTATGACTGCAAACATACACGGTAAGTATATAATGAAAACAGGGAATGACAGGGAAAATCATCAAAACAGGTACATGAGAGTGCCTTATTGATTGGCAATGATACCTTTTTTTGTTTTCTTTTGTCACTGACTTGTGCTCAGGTAATGTTCATTTCTTTAGGCTGGATGATACACTCAGGGTGTTATTTCTTTATCATTTTTTAATTACAGTTAACAACTTAAATATGTGCACATATTCTTTTGTATGAAAAACAAGTATTTCATTACTCAGAAAGTTTTTAATGAAAAGAATGAAGAACTAAATGGCCAAAAAACAAAAGGAAGCATGTGCAGACTACTCAAGAAGCAGACTGGTAGAGAAGAGAAGAGTAACAGGTATCAGGATCAACGCTTTTTTGTTTTTAAAGACCAAGGGCTATTTAATTTGTTTGCAGACAAATGAAAGTGGAACCAGAAGCAGAGATTAAACAGGTATAGCTAATAAAAGCTGCTATTTTAATTAGGTTTATTCTTTGTAGAGTATCTTTGAGTTAATATAACAGCATCTTTTTTTGAGACTCCATCTCAAAAAAAAAAAAAAAGGTGGGACTCATATTGTGTAAAAAGCAATTCTACTAGACATATACTTATAATAGAATATATAAAAAGAAGAGATCCTGGAAAAAAAGAAATGTATACAGGTTAGTCTTTTTCCCCAAACAAATGATGTGCTTAAGTCTTACCTGAAGAACCTGGTCAACAGAGGCAACTGGATACAACATGATGAATAATATAAAAACATATAAAAAAATCACAGAAAAAACAAAAAAATCTGGAAAAGAAAGTAAAAGTAAAACAAGTAAATTAGGAAATTCCTTTATATAAAAAGGTATCCAATAACAACTGGCATACTATCATTTCTAAATCTGGTTTTGAATACTTTCACTTCAGTTGATGAAATAAAGTATGTGCTCTGTTATTTCCTAGAGCACGAGACATTGTTCAGGGCACCCAAAAGATTCATATACACGATGTGATGTTATATTTAAACTCCATTAGCTTTAACCGTAAAAGTACTTCAGAAAATAATCAGCACTTAAAAAAATAAGACTCAGACCTTCATGGACATTCGCATGTTGCCCAAATGGATAGCTACTTTGTAAGATAGTAAAGTCAATATATAATGTACAAATAAGAGACTAAAGTATGTGTGGCAAAATGAGATTATCATTTAAAACATGTATTCAATGACAATTACTATTGATTGTAAAAACGCTGAATAACACTTATTTTCAGTATTAGGTATGTCTTAATCCTAAACAGAGGCATTCTAACCTAAATGTGAATATATTTCTAGTTAAGTGAATCCCATTTTTTCACTGATTTACACTGTGAAAATGTTTTCACAGAAAAAGCCAAAAGCCAAGAGACTGAATTGATCTACTGTTTTTCAAAGTGGGCTGACCTTACGGCTTGCTATGGGAGCTGGGAACAGCAAATCCACCCAGTAGTACTTTGTCTCACTTTTCTAACTCAAAAACCAAACTGCTTGCTCATGGCCATTTTCTTAAGTGTGTACATACACACATATACATGCATGTATATAAGCATATACTTATATAATAATAAGCCATAAAAGTGGCTCCAAAATGTCCTAATTATATTGATAGCCCAAACTTTTTCCCGTTTTCCTTTGATCTGGACATTTATTTACAAGTTCCTATTTGAACTCCATTTCAGACTTAAACTTTCCTAAGACCACATACAAAAACTTTACCACGAAGCCTCCAGACTGGGTAAAGAAGTCACTCTCCTTCTACTGACTGGAAATGAAGGGTCTCAGTGCTACGTTTAAATGTGGAAGTTATTTGTAAATATAAACTTCGTTAATATCAATTCAAAACTACAGGTAAATATTTATCATTCTACGGAAACTATACTATATATTAATCATTTTTATGTGTATATATACCAGTGTGTAGGGGTATATATACATAGTTTTAGTAGCTTAAGCTGAAACTTACACGAACACTTATACCAAAAGTGGAGACTCTTTTTTTACTATGAGCCACTGACCAAAAGGATTAAAAAAAACACGGGGCCGGGCATGGTGGCTCACGCCTATAATTCCAGCACTTTGGGAGGCCGAGGCGGGCAGATCATGAGGTCAGAATATTGAAACCATCCTGGCTAACACGGTGAAACCCTGTCTCTACTAAAAATATAAAAAATTAGCTGGGCATGGTGGCGGGTGCCTGTAGTGCCAGCTATTTGGTAGGCTGAGGCAGGAGAATGGCATGAACACGGGAGGTGGAGCTGGCAGTGAGCCGAGATCACACCACTGTACTCTATCTAGCCTGGGCGACAGGGCGAGACTCCATCTCAAAAAAAAAAAAAAAAAAAAAAAGGTGGGACTCATATTGTGTAAAAAGCAATTCTACTACACTGTAAATAGGAAATGTGACATCCTGTTTCACAAATGCAGCAACTAAAGTATCAAATAAGTTCTATGGTCACTTAAGTAGTTATGGTCAGATAAGGAAAAAGTGTTTAGAAAGTGGTGGTTGGAAATATATAAAAACAGAAAAGAAAAGAGACAAAATCAGAAGAAGTACAAAAAGCAATGGTCAGAATATAAATGGCAGAGAGAAACACAGAGACTAAAAAAGAATTTCAATGAAGTAATACCCATATTGCATGTTTTTCAAATCCGATTGCAGTTTTCAAACCACAGCAGATTTACACCTGGTTCTTGACATGTGCGTTGTTGGCAAAACAATAAAATAAAATAACTTACTCAAGCACAGAAGCGTCTTTACATCTACCTAAGCAATGTTTGTTTCTCAAATTTTCATGTCTCTCCCACAGCCACCTCTTGGATCCCACCTCTAAAAATCTGCCAAGATTTCCATGTGAAAGAGAAAATAAGTAACTGAATCTATCTTTGTTTAGCCTGGAGGAAAAAAAAAAAAGGGCACTATTCAAAAAAGACACTATGTGACAAGGGAGAAGGATGGCTGGTAGACATATAATCATACCAAATTTTAAAATCAATAAGGATTTCAACCAAGAATAGAAGAACTAGGTATTCACTTTAGAGAGTTATGAATTTCTTGTAGACTATGCTCTCAGCTCCTAGATTCTCCTAGCATTATAAGCAATGGCTTAGTAATTATACTAAAGTGTAAAATAAACATTCTTCACCAGAAGACAGATACCAAAACAAATTGTGTGTCACTGGTGACTGCAGGCCAGGGATTTAGATTGTTTTAGACTGACTCTTCCACAAAGCTATGTGAATCTGAACAAGTCATTTACAGTCAAATTATTTTATCTATAAAACGGGGATATAAGGATTCTGTAGGAAATAGTAGATTTTTAAGTATTCAAAGTACATAGCAACATTAAATTGAAGTTATTATGAAATATTTTTCAGCTTGCGGCAACATAGGATGTGCTGTTCATGATCCCAGATCCCACCGAGGGACTATGGTATCAAAATAAGGCACCAGAAAGGATTTCCTTCATATTCTCCTTAGTGACTCCGAAATAAGGTAGACACACATACAATATTCATCCCTAATCTATATCTCTTTGTTCCTTCCCCAAACAATAACTAGAACTAACCTACAGCCACAAATCTTAAGCCTTTTTATTCCTATCCCTCTTCCTTATCCAGTTATGTCTTTAAAAGGTCACCTTATTCTGTAGGGCCTCTAGGTATCTGAACTGCTTCAACCAATTTAGGCATGCTAGATGAATAGGAAAAAGATACACAAGCCCTGAATAGGAAAGATACTGGCAATTCAGTAGTAATGACTTCATAGACAGACAAAGGGATTAGGTAGCACAAGCAATAAACTGTAGGGCTGATCCAACAAGAAACTGCACTAAAAATTGAAGCCAAATCCAAGAAATCATGTCTAAAGGAGAGTGTTAAGAATTAAGTGCATATCACGACCCTTGAAATGAAAGCAGCTGAATGAGAAAACGTTAACTGTGAAGCTCAAGTTGAAAATAGGGAACCAAACAGACTGAAGTTAAGTTTAATTTAGATTGAAAGTGAACCAGTACAAGCAAGGAAAAAACTCAAAAGAGAGTTCCTTAAACGCCTAAGGATGAGATTAATTCTTAAAAATATAATTTCAAAATACATTTAATACATTACACACCATTTATAGAGAGCAACAACTGGCAGGTCCTAGAAAGGACTCTGCATGGACTCCCATGACAAACAGACAAGAGGTGAAAACTAGCAGAACGTCTGCATCAACTGCACTGCTCCTTTTGTGCTTTTCAGAAGGCATGTTTTATAACAGAAAGTGCTTCTGTTTACCCACTGAGAGAAGTACACAAGCTGATAATAGGAAAGGCAATCAAGTTTTATGCTTGTATTTCTGCTAAATATAATAATACATTTTTAAATCATCCAGTGGCCAACAACAGTGTTATTTATTCTAGTAAATTGGAAATTAAACAAGAATACAAAATTTCTTAACCCTTTTTAAAAAAGTTTTCCAAACATATAGAAGATGCATTTTTAGAAACAGGGAACTAATATTCTGCCTTTCTCTTTTTTAATTGTAACAGTGTGGATAGGGTAGATCTCTAAAATTAACTTTCTTGATAGAGCTGTCTTGCTTGCAAACCAGTCTGAATACCAGTTTTCTTCAAATAAAAAAAAAAAGCAATGTTTTTTCATAGATGTTTTTAGCTACCCTTAAATGTGTTCAATATTTCCTTGAAATTTAAAAATATTGAACTAAAAATAAAACGTATACCAATGTTAATGATTAAATTCACCTTATAATAAGTTATCTGTAGTAAAAAATCCTTTTAGAAATACCATGGCAAATCTTCTATGGAAGGTTTTTCATCCCGTAGCATGGTTCTAATACGGTTCTTAGTAACATAGTTATTAGTATGGTTATACAGCAATATATAACTAATAAATAATAACAGTTATTTTTTAAATAGTTATTTTTTACAGTTCTTAGTAACAGTCATTAGTATAGTTATATAGCAATATATAACTAATAAATAAGTAATAATAATTTTTAAAATAAGAAACATAAGTTCCAAAAAGAGGGCAAATAAAAGAAAAATTACCAGTAAGATCAGATTTTAATCTTACCCGTCCAAAATATAAAGTAATAAAACTTGCCCTACAAACCAACAGGGTAGAAGTGACAAATAAGATAACGTATGAGAAAATGCCTTATAAATGCTAATATGAGAGACAGAGACGCTAACAGTTGTGACTCCTATGACATACCGATACCTGTGACCTGGCATCTTGCCAACTAGAACACTGCCACCTCATCATAACTACAGCAAAAGAATAATTGCTATTCGCTCCAAGATACTGCAGAAGTCTAAAAGTTGTTCCATATATTAGTGTATTCTTAATTTTTTTAATTGGCAATTTATATGCAGTAACTGATTTTTTCCATAAACTCTAATTTTGATCAATCAAAATGGTATATTCTACTGCCATAGACAAGTCCACAAGGGCACAGGTCCCCATTCAGCCTGTGCTGAATGGCCCTTTCTTCAATAGCATGCAAAGATACTAGAAATGAAGAATCCCAGAGGTGAACACAGGCCATACCAGTGTCGGAAATGAAGAAGATGGCTGATGCTGTGCAGACCGTCCTGGAGGAAAGTGTAATACCTACTGTTCCAACTGAGGAACCTCTGTCTCTGCTTCCAATCCTAACTCCCTCCGCAATGGGTTGAGGAACCTCTGTCTCTGCTTCCAATCCTAACTCCCTCCGCAATGGGTTGCAGAAATAAAAGCTGCAGCCAGAGGCAGTAGGATGTGAAAAACAACAGTGTTTAACACTGGTGACTTTAACTTTAAATTTAGGGTGGCAACTACCAATGAAAGTAAAACAAAACAGTAAACATCTAAATCACTAAGTTCATTCCATCTGTGAAGATCTGGTTTACTGTGGAAAAGACAGTCATAATTATTCTCTTCTACATTAGTTTTAAAGGGGCAAGGCAGGGTGGAAATCACAATAAATGCCAAACTTACAATTTTTGTAGCAAGGTTGCCTGAAGGGTTTTCCTTTTGAAAAGGCAATTGCCACTATGAGGTACTGAAAACTGGAAATAAAAAACACTGTGGTATTTTCATAATTTTGTATATTATGTTCATCAAGTTCGGTTTCATTGTCTAAGTGTGAAGAATTCCAAAGCAGGCTTCCGGTTGCATTACAAGCACTAGAACACATGCAAAAAATGCTTGCATTAGTAAACAGAATACTCATTTCCCAAAAGAAACCAATTTTACCTTAATTGCCCTGAATCACTATCATAACAAACAGAAATACGATGATATTTATAGCAAAAGGTCCAACAATATCAAAATAAGATATATAAAACAGGTACAAAGAGTATGAAGGGTTTTCTCTTCAGTCAGACATCTCAATCACTTAAAAAATTAGAATCAAGTAAGAAATATTTAATAAGCCCCCTCAGTTTTTTAATTTTGGCAGGAATTTTAGCAGAGTAAAAGCAGACAGAAAATGGGCTTGACCCAAGCTCTATCACTTTTCAGGGCAAACTGAGGAAATAGTATTTACTCTCTCTGAGCCTACCTCCTCGCTGGTCAATGTTGGTACCTACATCACAAGTTGACATGGGGACTAGCAGGATGACTTGTGCAAATGCCTAGCAAGCCCCCAGTGCTTGATGGCCCTCAGTATTCTCCAGCTGTGGCTCTCTCTCATTTCTACTTTCAGGTAGGCAGGACCATGAGGCACACAAACAACTAATTATGAGAAGTCCCCAACGATCATTACTGAAACATTAACTATAAACGCAAGTAAGTGCTCACAAAATGTGATTAACATTAACAGATGATGCTGCAAGTGAACTACGGAAAGAGTCTCAAGAAAATTCCACCTCTTTTCTTTCATGTGTAGTGTTTTTATGCACACATAAAAAATGTAACGTTAAATCTCTTAAAATCTTCTAAAATGTTTAAAGATAATACCCTTCAATCAGGCAAACTAGAAATAAATGTTTACACCTGAAAATTTAATTCTACAAAATTAACACGTTTAATTAAAATGATGTTATAATTTGTGATCTACAGAGCACTCTACACTCTACAAATAGCAAATGCACCTAATTTATTTTTCCCCAGAAGTTTCAAAATGCCATTTCCTAAACTGGGGGAAGAGAGATTAGAAGTACAAAACACTCTGGGTTTAGAAGAGGCCCCAGAGATTAATTCCAACATTCTTATTTTACAGATAAGTAAGGCTCAATAGCAAATTAAGAAACTGATCTAAGATCCCCATCTTGGTAGTGATTATTAGGTTTTTGCCTGAACATCTTCCCAAAGACAGGAGTGACCGTGATATACAGGCAAATACAGGCCAAATTACGCAAGTGTTTAAAGCAGTCGGCATGCAAACTTTGTCTCAAAAAACCATCTCTTGGCTCACTGCAACCTCTGCCTCCCAGGTTCAAGTGATTCTCCTGCTTCAAGTCTCCCAAGTTGCTGGGATTACAGACAGGCACCACCATGCCCGGCTAATTTTTGTATTTTTAGTAGAGACGGGGTTTTGTCATGTTAACCAGGCTGGTCTCAAACTCCTGGTCTCAACTGATCGAACTCCTGGTCTCAAGTGATCTACCTGCCTTGGCCTCCCCAAAGTACTGGGACTACAGGTGTGAGCCACTGCACCTGGCACAAACTTTTACATAAACTTCTAAACTCATTTTTATACCACACATGTTGCACATATTTTATATAGATTTTTACACAGATTGACCAACTTACTCTGATTTTGGATGCCACACTTCATACCAAGGTTGCTGCTTGACCCAAAAAAACCCCAAAGATTGAAATCCAATGCAGATGATAATCTGAGACAAAACGGAGAAGAGAAGGGCCCCAGATATAAGACCCGAAGGTGGTCTTTGTGCCACAAGTTCCTTCCAGGCAGGATTTAAACTCACTATATTGAAAAGAAAAAGAGGAAAGGTTTGTATCTACATTCATCTGTCACTACATAAGGCGTAACTAGATTCATTTAGGAACTTTAAAAATTTGTTTTTGCCTAGCAATTCTTTAATATAAAAAATCTCCAAAAACCAAGTCACATATCGTACACATTTACATAATCTGTAAAAGTAAACAGTGTAGGCTTTTTGAAAAATGCCTCAGGAATAATTTTTACATTTCTATTGAAATTCAACAGTAATATTAACAAATAAAAGTAAAACTAGGCCAGGCATGGTGGCTCATGCTTGTAATCCCAGCAATTTGGGAGGCCATAGTGGGAGGATCACTTGAGCCCAGGAGTTTGAGACTAGCATGGGCAACACAGTGAAACCCCATTTCTACAAAATAAATAAATAAATAAATAAATAAATAAATAATTTTAAATTAAAAAAATAGTAAAACTAAATATAAACACAATAACTACAAAGTTGATCATCTCATATATTTAAGAGATCATTATTTTCTGAATCTTTAATTGCAAAACTAGTTAAAATAATACATACTTCTTCCTCTTACGATATTAACAATGTTTGAAGCAATATAAACATAGGAAAAACAGTTTTTAACAAGGCTTTCATTACTTATTAAGGTGGTATACAACACAAGTTTCCCACTATAAAGTTTCTATTTTTCAGCTGGGCACAGTGGCTCACGCCTGTAATCCAGTCATTTGGTAGGCCGAGGTGGGCGGATCACTTGAGGTCAGGAGTTAGAGACTGGCCTGGCCAACATGGTGAAACCCCGATTCTACTAAAAATATAAAAATTAGCCGGGCATGGTGGTGCGCACCTGTAATCCCAGCTACTCAGGAGGCTGAGGCAGGAGAATCGCTGGGACTCGGGAGGCGGAGGTTGCAGTGAGCCGAGATCGTGCCACTGCACTCCAGCCTGGGTGACAGAGCCAGACTCTGTCTCAAAAAAAAAAAAAAAAAGAAATTTCTATTTTTCCCTTTGTAACTAGCACCTTGTGAAAAGATACGCTGAGACTGTGAAAATCCTGCTCCCTATCAAACTTTCACTAGTTTTATCACCTACTAAAGATAAGTGGTTCTCAACCAGAGGATTTTGTACCCCAAGGGAATATCTGGCAATGTCTGAAGATATATTTTGTTCTAATCTAGGAGACTACGGGAAAATAGGCATAAAGGACATTGTTGAGACAAATGACAAAACCTGAATATGGGTTTTGGACCAGATAACATTATATCAATGTTAAATTTCCTGATCTTCACAACTGTATTTAGTTATATAAAATAATGGTTTTGCTTTTAGAAAATATACACTAAAATTGTCAGAGGCAAAAGAGCATACTGACTCAAAACTTATTTTCAAATATTTCAGGGAAAAAAAACAATAGAGACAGAACAATAAAAAAATGGGGCAAGATATAAACAACTGGTAATAAAATAATATATTTACAAGGAATCTGGAGAGGTGTGAGCTATGTTACAATTGTTGATGTAAATTTACAAAAATTTAATAAGTCACATCAGAATTTCATACACTTTAAAAATCAATAGCAAAGCAAAATACTCACTTGTAAATACCACTACCAAAATGATTGCCAGATCAATGAAGAGAAACTGGAAGTCTCCTAGGTTACTTAAGATCTATAGAAGTAATTTTAAAAACATTATTAGGTTTTTGGAATTATTTTTATAGTGTCCCCAGGTTTTATTAATAGTTTGGATTTTCCCAATAATGACAACTTAAAAATGACACTTGGACCTGCTTAAAAATTGAAATATATGTGTCTCTGAAATTAACTATAATATATATTTACAAATATTTGATTTAGTATATTAGTATAAAAGGCATCTCCTTAAAATTCGTTCATTAGGCCGGGCACTGTGACTCACACCTGTAATACCAGCACTTTGGGAGGCCAAGGCCGGCACATCACGAGGTCAAGAGACGAGACCATCCTGGCCAACATGGTTTTTTGGCGAAAAGAAAACACTAACATTTACTCAAAATATTCAACGTTGTAAATTAGTATCCTCATCTAATAGCATCCCTTCTGATATTTTCTACAAATAGTAAAATGGGATAGTGTCACCATGAGTCTTTAGGATGTCAGAACACTTTGATTATAAAATCTGACAGGGTACCTGTGGCCATTGCTGTTTATACTTTTTCTCCAAAAGCAAACCATTCCCCAAATTCAACAAACCACTGTTGAAACATCTTTTCTCATTTTACCTTTTTCAATCTGCTACTCAAACTACAGTAAATTGAAGGTAAATTTATAGGTACTACTCCACATAAACAATTACTAATGGATGCACTCAAAATCAAATATATATACTCAACATTTAATTTACTGTGCACATTAAGTGTTACCTCTGCACACAAGGTTAATACTCACAGAATACAGGAGAGTCACACTGAAGTACTGGATAATGCTGTACAATGCCATAAATTTAAACACACAGAAGGAAGTTATTAAAGCAGCACGGCCTTCCCTGTGAAAAGAAATCAAACACTGGCATATGAATAAAAGCATTTTAAACTCCTTTTCCAAACCACAACTTTATCTTGACACATGAACATCAACATTCAAAGGCTACAACAAAGTGCTTATATCCACCAAAAGAACTAAACTAAATGAGGAGTAGAAATCAATCTGTTACTAATAAGTTATAGCTCAAATGTGCTAATCTGCTAATATTAAACAAATTCACATTACTTTTTGTAATTTTCTCTTCTGTATTATTAGAGCAAGAGAAAAAGGGATGAGAAAAATTTTAATTTGTACTACCTGATAAGGTTTGGCACACAGGAAATACTAGGAGTTTTAGAGGTAAAGGGAGATGCCACTGAAGCTTCGAGCTCTGATAAGGAAATGCCTCCGTGTGCCCTCTTCAAAGCCTAATAATTTTAAGACAACTGGTTAAGTTTTGTGAATATGATTTAGGCTACAGTAAGAACTACAAAAGTAAATCACAAAAACTATACTTACGCCACAATCATTTGCGCCATCACCACACATCCCAACAAAATAACTAAGAAACAAAACAATGTTAAGATTTTAATTAATTTCTTAAACTACAAAACATTTACCTTATTAAGATTTTTTTATTACAGTATTATAAAGAGCTAACACACCAGGATTCCCCCAGTGGAACTACTGAATCTTTTTACTATAATGGACACAGGTGTGTTGCTTTGCAAACAGCACCAGACCGCAAGTGAAATGAGCTAGGTTATTGTCCTATTTCTGTCACATTATTGGCAAATCATTTTGGTGTCTCAATTTCCTCATCTTTAGAGCAAAGTGCTTGTGCCTACAGTCTTTAGTATGGCTACTTTTAAAGTTATCAGTAAAAACTTATCCCTTAATAACCTGAAACATAACTGTTTACTAAAATGATTAGCCACTTCTATCAAGATAGAACACCCGAAAGAATGAAGTCATAGGTAGCACCTGGAGAAAAAACCGTGGATATTGTACTTTAGCTAAATAAAAAGCATATGAGACTTTTTAAAGAGGCACTTAAAGTTCTCGTCTACCTTACAGATCACAATTATATAAATATGAAATATCAGTATAAGAAACATATATAAAAATTATTTTTCTGATGCTGAAATGAAACCATAGTTCATAAAAAACCAAAAACAAAAAAGACACCAATGCTTACTCAACATTTTGCAATGCTTCTATCAACTGTGTCTTCTGATCAGGTGCCATACGAGCAAACACGGTGCCATGCAACATCAACTGGGAAAAAATCAAATAAATTTCTTAAAAATATTGTTCACGATGTAGTCATGTGAACACATACATACACCCAAATTACTTACCTTAGGAACAAGGTCTTGAAAATGCTCCAGTATCACTGAAAATGATTTTCCATTCATTGCAAAATGATAACGAGTCATTTGAAGATCCTCTAAGCTATCATGGACCAATTTAACTGGAATAGCCTGTGTATGAGACATTGGGAACAATATTTAGGCAGCCAAACTAAGTAAAACAATTCTATTTTAAACATATTTGTTCTAAAACTGAATTCTTTCATTTGACATGTTCCACAACACACTGAAAGCCTGACATTTATTCAAAGTAAAAAGAAACTCAAATATCAGTTTCAATTTGAAACGATGCATGAACTGAGTATGATGGACCACCTGCATCATTTACCACTAGTTATTTGAAGAATATGATAAACATCTGGAATTCTTACACTTTAAAACTATGCTTCTCATCTCAGCTAAATATCAAAATTTGAACATTGAGATTCCTGGGTCTGCCCCAGTCCTAATGAAATATAATCTCTGAAAAAATAGCCCAGACTTCTGTTTTCATTTAGTTTTTGCCTTACTGTGTTTTAACGCACCACTTTTTTTTTTTTTCCAGACTAAATTTAAACCAACAAACTTTAAAAGGGACAATCAAGTTTGACCTTACCTCTGAGGCAATTGCTGATGGATGACCGCACTGTGTGAGGGAGTCTGCATAATGCCAATTTATTTTGGCAACTTTCCCATCCTTTGGAGGTAATGCTTCAGCAATAATCACTTTATCCTGAGGTAGAATCATTCCACAGTCTCTGGCCACAGAGACAGCAGTCAACATATTGTCACCTAATTTTCAAAGTATTTTAAATGCATTAAAATTAAAATGGAAACGTGAACGTATCAAACAAGTACTTGCTGAGAATCTACTACAGTCTCCACGACTGGGCTGGCGGAATAACGATAATGTATGGTTCTTCCCCTTAGAGTTTAAAAATCACAAAATTGGAGCGTACTTATCAAAAGAAGCCTCAAATAATGCAAGCTAAAGACAACATCTCATCCACAATTTTTAAAGCCAAATACAATTCTCAGTCTTTTCCAGTCATGCACTATTTGTGTCTACACAATACCTGGCACAGTGCTACACACAGAGCAGGTGGCTCAATAAGTATTTACCGAAATAACTTTGTAGTGACTAGTGGTCTGTGCAAGAACACCAGCACTATGCCATAGGAAAGGATGAATTACAAAAGCAAGATTATACAAAACAAAAAGTTAACAAAGGTAATAAGAACAGATGTAAATGAGAAACAAGAGAGACAGCTTCTCAGTCATGAGAAGAACAGAAGAGCAGCAAGGACAGGATCTTAAAGGAGAAGCAGGCAAAGGTTTGTGGATCCCACTGCTACCAAGACCAAGATATTTCTTTCCTCAATTTCCACACATTATTTCCAAGAATAATTTCCTATGACTTTTGGTATACAAAGCCATATTCTGGCAAGGGAAAAAAAAATTTAAAACAAATAAATAAAAGAGGAGGACGAGGAATGGGTGAAAAGTGCCTTGACAGAGAAGACACAAGAACTAAGAATTGCTGGGATGTTAACAGACTTAGTTATCTTGAGTTATATGGTAAAATTATGTTATTAGATAGATCTCAAGAGTCTAAAACACAAAAATGTATAGACTTTCTCCATACTAGTCTTACTGAACACGTAAGTGCCATTAAGTATCTTAAATCTGATTATCTGCTAAGGAAAAAAACAAAAACCAGCTACCACAATTTTACACAGCTAAGGAGTAACAGTTATCTAATATTATTAACAGTAGAGTAACATCAGGAGAATCCCTTAGATGTACTAGAAAAAAAACAAAAAGTAGGCTACTTCACTAGAATTCAAGCTAGGGTAATAAACAATATCTCACATATAAAAATTTCATGCTATCAAATATCTATTAATCATTTTCTATGTACTTGACAGTTCTAAAAATTGCAAAGGACCCCAACATGAGTAAAACATAATCCTAACCCTCAAGAATCTTATATTCTAGTAGAGAAAACAAATCTACAAATAACACAAGGTATAATAAGTGCTGTAAGAAATACATGAATAAACAGAGAAAACAAAAAGGAGTCAAGTTTAAATTTTTACAATGTACTTTTACTATTCTACTATATTTTCTATAAATAGGATTTGGTAGACCTCAAAAAGAATACGACGAAGTTATCTCGCACTTGGGAAAATATTCAGAGCTAAAAGAGAACTTAGGTTGAAACCACTAAAGAATATATAATATTATTTTATAACTGATTATCCCTCAATATTATATAACTTCAACTCTGTCACACTCCATTTTGTTCTGTGTTCTTTGATAAAGTCTAACCTGTGACCATGACGGTGCGAATGTTGGCTTTATGCAAATCTTCAAGTACTGCAGGGGTTTCTTGCTTTAATTTGTTCTGCATTATAATTAATCCCATAAAATCCATGTTGTTCTCAATTGCATCTCTGCAGAAAAAGAAGTTTTAACACATAATGGTTTAGTCAAGTGAGTAAGCAACTTATGTACACAAACTTAAAATATCTAAGCAATTAAAAATGTCTGTAAGTTATAACACAGTTTAAAATACCTATAAATTAAAACATTTTATATGCTGAATAAACCACGTGTTCAGGAGTTCAATATCTCAATATAATAATCATTTGGAAATGTACGTCCCTGTACACTAAACAATTCTAGTACTAAGGAATACTCATCTTGTATATTATCCAAAAATGTATAAGCATAAATATATTCTTTACTGCCCTCTACAACATATCCTAATTTAAATGTTCAGTGAAAAAGAAAAAACTGTGCCACAAGCACATTCAATAGTTTTCGTGGATTCATTATCAAGTCTGAGATCAACTCTATAAAACAATTACTGATCCTGAAAATGTGACACAAGAACCATTAGCAATCCAACAATGAGATCTACTTGGGACTCAGAGATAGGTCTTTTAAAATATTACTAATATAGTTATCAAGATGCTATTCTTTAAATAACTGAGTATCAAGAATGCACCAGGCACTATGCTAGTCACTGGGAGGTTAAAGACAAAAAGAGATGATCTCTACTCACAAGAAACTTGGGTGGGGAAACAGAAATGCAACCAAAGAGATGCACACAAAAATAGTATGTGCTTTAGCACTATGAATAATAGTGACGTTCTTAAGAAATCTCAGGTCAGGCATGGTAGCTCATGCCTGTAATCCCAGTACTTTGGGAGGCTGAAATAGGAGGACTGCTTGAACCCAGGAGTTTGAGGACAGCCTGGGCAGCATAGTGAGACCCCATCTCTACAAAAAATGAAAAAACAATTAGCTGGGCATGGTGGCCTGTGACTGCAGTCCCACTACGAGGAAGGGCTTGAGGAGCGAGGGTCATTTAAGGCCCAGGTGGTCAAGTCTGCAGTGAGACGGGTTGGTTCCACTGCACTCTAGCCTGAGCAACAGAGAGAGAGCCTATCTCAAAAGAAACAAACAAAGAAGGAAAACAAACAAAAAACACCTCAACTGACCTAAATTATATCATAGAAATTTCTTTCTCAATGGGGAAGGAGGAGGGTCTGAGGTCAAAGACTAGAATTTCAGACTTGGAATAACCAAATGATTTTTCTAACAAAATTCCAATAAAAGTTGCTTGAAGTATGTATCTATGAAATCTAAAATCTTTGAAACACCTAATTTCTAACAATGGATGGTAAAGACATTAGAGAATAGTTGAGAAAATTAATATAAATGAAACTGCTGGTGGTAACAGCCGGAAAAAGCCTTGAAACCTGAAACTGTATTTCAAAATGCAAAGCTGTATCAATGTGAAGACACTGTGTCAAAAGCACTAAGCCGTTTTCCTTCAGGCACTAGTTTCTGGCTTCAGCTCGTCTCCTAACTCTCTCATATCGTATGAATGATACAGGTCATGGAAATCTGACCCTCTAGTTAGTGAACAGTCCAATATTCAAGATATAAAGGCTTAAGCTATAAGGGAAATGCTAAAACCCATTCCTACAAGGTAAAATGGAAACACAGAGGTCTCAGTGGAAGGGTAAAGAAGAAAAGGAGTAGAGAAAGAGAGGAAAGTTAACAAGGAGGGACAGAGTATCCTCAGCACAAGAAACAGTCTATCCGATGGCATGGAAGGATGTCTCAAGATGACATGCTCAAGAACTATAGGCGGCTGGATGCAGTGGCTCACACCTGTAATCCCAGCACTTTGGGAGGCCAAGGCGGACAGATCACGAGGTCAGGAGTTCAAGACCAGCCTGGCCAACATAGTGAAACCCCGTCTCTAACTAAAATACAAAAATTAGCCAGGCATGGTGGTGTGCACCTGTAGTTCCAGCTACTCAGGAGGCTCAGGAAGGAGAATCACTTGAACCCAGGAGGTGGAGGTTGTGGTGAACTGACATCGTGCCACTACACTCCAGCCTGGGTAACAGAGCAAGATTTCGTCTCAAAAGAAAAAAAAAAAACTGTAAGCAATTCAATAATTAGTGTTTATGGGGGAAAATGGCAAAGGCATCCATTTTCTTATCCCCTAGCACCCCTGCTAGTGTGAAGCTATAAACTAAGAAGAGACTAACGTGTCCTTAGTAGGAATTAGGATATAATATTGTACACATTTGTGGTTCCCGACATGCATATGTATCACATAATTTGGGTAGAGGTGTTTCTTTTTTTTTTTAAACTCATGCTTAGACCATCTCCCCCAAATAGGCAATTTAGCAGGACAGCCAAGTGACAGTCCTTTCTGCTTACAAAAAACTAGGTACATCATGAAGTATTTCTAAACAAAAATGTTATCCTCAAAGGTAGGTCTGTATCAGTTACAGTCAAAGTGACAATACTTGAATATGACACTGTCATTTGATGGGGGGAATGGAGAGCACTGGGGATTAGGAAAGAAATGGAGTAGAAGGAGCTTGGTCACTATGACTCATTATATTCTGACTGAATTAGTAGTTAGATCTAACCCCTGGGCAAAAGTGAGAAGATCAATTGGAGAAAATAAACTTCTATAAAATTACATTTACTGTTCTTGGAATGTGCCTGACACACAGTGGGTACACAATAATTAACAAATTGAAAATAGTTTCAAAGAGTTTTAAGAAAAAAACATATGATGTTACAATAACATAAGGAAACATAGGTCAACAGTCAATACTGAATGATCATTTAAGGCCAGGAGTTCGAGGCCAGCCTGGCCAACATGTTAAAAACCCCGTCTCTATTAAAAATATAAAAATTAGTCAGGTGTGGTGGCACATGCCTATAATCCCAGCTACTTGGGAGGATGAGGCACAAGAATTGCTTGAACCTGGGAGGCAGAGGTTGCAGTGACCGGAGACTGCGCCACTACACTGTAGCCTGGGTACAGGGTGAGACTATCTCTCAAAAAGAAAAAAAAAAAAAAAAAAAAACAGAATGAAAGGAAATCAGGCAGTGGGGAAAATGTACTTTTACTTCACTCACCTAAAACAATATTGTATTAGATATCTTTTCATACATCATACATTCAACAAATACTCAATTACATGCAAATTACTGTGCATGAACGATATAAACATAAATGATGATGACTGGGAAACTAGGAAAGTCATTCAACCTCACCTGCTAATATTCTGTACTTTATGCCATGTCAGTTTTGACTCTAATTTTCTGTGTGCAAGAGCAATCACACGGAAGCCCTGTTTAGTGAAGTCTTCCAAAACGTTTTGAAAATCTACAGGAACTTTTTAAAAGAAAGAGTACATGTCATTGTTAGAGTTGCTAATACAAGTTTACACAAATACCAGAATTTTACCCAGAGCATAGATATTTCCTTACCTGTTTCAGGTTTACAAAGACTGGCAATGACCTCGGGTGCTCCTTTCATATAGGCATCCATTTTCTTATCCCCTAGCACCCTTGCAACCACACTCATACGTTGCAAAGCAGAAGAAAATGGAAACTGGCGAACAATTCCTATCTCATAAATAGCCTATATAATTTCAAAAGATGCACAAGCACTTATTATTCTTAAAAAATCAAAACAAATATACTTAGGTAACAAGTAAACATTCTTCACTTACTGGAAGTTCAAACAGCTCCTAAAAACGAAACAAAACAAGAAGAAATAGTACAGATTAACTCTATTAACATACTGAAGTTAGAAAAAGTTTACTAAGCAACCACAAAACATTATTTGGAAAAGAAACAAGCAACTGTTTTTCAAAGTCAGGATTCAAGATTCCTTCTATACTACTTCCCATTTTTAAAAAGTGTGTTCTTAAATATTTTCAAATGTTCTGCTATCCTGAAAATATTAACATTCGAGTACTAAAATAAACAAGTGTACATACCAAAAAACAAAAAATAAAAATTAAAAAAATAATAAACTGGCCAGGCACAGTGGCTCATGCCTGTAATCCCAGCACCTCGGGAGGCCAAGGTGGGTGGATCACTTGAGGGCAGGAGTTCGAGACGAGACTTATCAACATGATGAAACCCTGTCTTTACTAAAAATACAAAAATTAGCTGGGTGCGGTGACGCGTGCCTGTAATCCCAGCTACTCAGGAGGCTGAGGTGGGAGAATCGCTTGAACCCGGGAGGTGGAGGTTGCAGTGAGCTGAGATCTCACCACTGCACTCCAGCCGGGGTGATAGAGCGAGACTCTGTCTTAAAAAATAGTAATAAACTCTGGAAAGAACAAATATAAACAGGAAGGAAAATGAATTACCCAGAATCCTGTCAACCAGTTAAATAAATAAGATAAAGTGGTGTTTATTAGAATCTTGGTAAATTTCTTGGATATGTAATAGTTATACACGTAAAAAAATTTTCAGGTAACTTAAAAAACAATAATAAACTAAGGGGAATATATTTGAAAATTCACTGAAAGTAAAGCCTTTCATACATACTTTTTATTAAATTCTAGGAATACAGATGCAATTTAAGAGGATTAACCACCAGCTGTATAAATCACAAGGCACTAAGCTGCTCAGTAAACAGGAAGGAAAAGTGATAGGACTGCAAATTAAATCTCAACATAAAGGTGTAGTTTCTGAGAAACGCAGTTAAAATATTCCTATCTCTGCATAAGAGTTAAATAAAGGACTTGTGACTTCCTCTTCTAGCAACATTTTAAAATGAGAATTAAATGTAAGTAAGCAGGCTGGGGGCGGTGGCTCACACCTGTAATCCCAGCACCTGAGGAGGTCAAGATGGGGGGATCACTTGAGCCCAGGAGTTTGAGACCAGCTTGGGCAACATAGCAAGACCTTGTCTCTATAAAAAATAAAAATTTAAAAATTTAAAAATAAATAAGTAACCACCAACAGTTTTATTGAGCTTTAAGTGATTTCTCACCATTTCTTGGTTTCCTGCAGGGGTAGATTCAGGAAGCAGTTGTTTGGGAGGACGAACCACTGTGGGCATAATTCGATTATGAAGTGCTGTTTCTTCTTCAGTTGCTTCTTCCAGAATCTGAAGAAAAAAAAAAACACCAACCATTCAAGCACTGCCTCATAAAATTGAATTCATGGTTCCATTTTTAAATGGAACATTATGGCCATTTTCAATAATTAAAAAAAAATCTATGTCCAAGGAACAAATGAGCACTACTGGATCACTAACATAAGTAAAAGAAAACGTGAACAAAGATGTTGAGTTAGATAGCTAGCAACCCATGGGAGAAGGGTTGCTTCATTCAGGGTTAGAAGCAGAATAAAGAAACAGAAACTTATCTTGCTTCACTCTTACAACTTGTTGGGTTTAGAGACTAGCTCTGCAAAAGACAAAAGGTCTTGCAGTCCCCAGAATTTTCAGTCTCATCCAGTGATTCCTTTCTGCTACCAAGAAAGGATTCAAAAGTACATAGAGCTCAGATATGGTTAGCAGAACTGCTGGGTCAAAAACGGGCTAAAGTACAAAGATATGAGTTTAGAGTTTTTCAGCTTGAATACTTCTAGTTAAGCTACTACTTTGAAGAACCTTTTTTTGGTGAAAAACGTTCAAAGAAAAACCTATATTAAACACACACTATAACTAGTGGGATCAATAAATGAAAAAATGATAGGGAACGGTGAAAAATTAGTCAATTTTGGACAATTCTAAGACACTTTTTTTGTATCTTAACATCTCTAAAATTGGGATGCATCTTGTATCATATGACATCAATCACATCAAGTCACGGTTGTGACTAGCTACATGAAACCATTTCATTGATAAGTAAGCTCTGGTAGGATCAAGCATCAAAGCAACTCAAGGCCAATGAAATATGCCATTATACAAATCTTCTTAATCAATTTCTTTGAAGATCCACCAATACTGAACACTAAATCTACTGAAAATCTATTCAGTTGGAGAAAAGTTTAGAGAAGAAAGATAAATCAGCCCATTTTTGTTACTCTCTCTACAAATGAAGTGAGGCCTCCTTTTTGGAATTAAATGTCAAGAGTGTTTACCGTGGACTTTCAGTAGTTGGCAGATGGAGCGCTTATCCAGTCACCCTCTCCCTCCCTCCCTTTCAAAATGTGGGGAGGGAGGGAGGGGCGTGAGGAGGCAGGGAAGAGGGAGGCAGGATCCGGTAAATGTAAACAGAAAACAAACCTGCAGGAAGGGATTTCAAATATGGAAACAAAGGGCAAACTGAAACCTATGGATGGATACAAAGGGGAACGAAACAGTAGACCAGAAAAAACACAAGATACCAGGTGAGGCAGGAACATTTATCAGCCAGAATAGCTGAGCTAAAGAAAGCCAAACAAAAAACTAGGGAGTCCTCCTCCAGAGACATAAACTGAATGTCTGACAGGAGCAAAGGCTTCTCACATGAGGGTGAGGATTCCAGAGGACAAAGCCCCACATGTGCCAGCGTGGTGAGAATGGGTGAGGACAGCATCGGAAAGGCTAACTCTGAAACTATTCCTTTGAAACTTTAAGAACCCCTGTCGATAAGACCCCACTAGACACACAGCAAGCACCATCCCCCACCCCCCAACAAGCCTTCCCGATCAGAGAGACACTTCTCAGAAACACTAACATACATACGGGCAAGGGTAAAAGTATAAGTAGCTTACTGCAGCTATGCAGAATTACCAAGTCAGATCTTCATTTTTATAGTAAAAAAGTGCCATCCAGATGTACAACAAAAACCAAAAGCATGAAGGAGAGACACCAAGCATGGGGTGGGGGCCAGAGGAGACCGTAACCCCAGAGAAAATAAATAAATAATTAAGAAGCCAGAACGGAACTCTAAAAATGAACTGTCTTTGTATTTATAAAAGAAGAACTGAATGCTGTAAAATGGTAACAACCAGAGAACATAAGCAGGCACTCAGAAATTAAAAGCACCAATGGCAAAAATAGAAGGAAGTTATAAACAAACACACACATGTGCATGTGTGTGGACACAGTAAACAAAAGACAGGTAAAAAAGAACAATGAAGACAGGACTTTATACTCCTTCGCCTGTGGCCAAGAAATTGTGTCAGTTAAGATCATCTTACTGGCTCTGCTCCACCGCCCCAAGTTGCTGGCCCCTGGTTTATCTCAAACACAAAGCAGGGGCCTCAGCTGGTCAACCTCTATTAAAGGAGTACTAAATGGGTTAACGAAAAGTTACTTTTGCACGATTTTAAAAATATTTCTCTAGTGATATAGCTTTAGAAATTACATAGTTCCTTTTAGGGTACAAGATAGACTGTCATTAAAACAAAAAGCAGAAATAATCCTTCCATGAGGTAATTTAATTTTTAATTACTATTTTCCTAAAGTTATTTGTATTTTAAAATATTTGACTTACCCATCCAATGGCCTCAAACATTTTCAAATCAAGTGGATCACCAGAAAGCACTCCTTCAATTTTTGTAAGTGAATGACAAGTAGCCAAACAAGCAACAAACTGGGATTTTACCAACATCTCATTGCACACATTTTCTTCTGGTGAAAGAAATCTAAGCAGAAGATACACTGAATTAGTTCCATAAATCCTAAGATTCAAGATAATATTCTAATAGGGCTTTTCTAGTTTTGTAATTTAAAAAATATATATATTTTAAATCCCAAACTGAGCTTCTAAGAAAGAGAAACTGCCAAGTGCCAGAAATAGTGGGAAAAGAAAACCAGAGGGGTAACGAACTTGAGCTGATGCTATGGCTGCTGAGGGGATGAAGGCAGGAGGCCATCTCAGTAAACTAAGAACCTGGGATTTAATACCCACAAAAGGACAGGAAACCAAGTTTGGCCCCATGCAAAGTGGGAAGCTGGTACTGAAAGGATCCCTCCGACTCAGGAAAGTCTACTCTTGAAGAGCTACATACTCTTGGGAAAAGGGCTGACGAGAAAAAATTCACCCACAGACCTAAAGGCATTAATTATGAATAAGCTTGTCTATTTCCTCACCCAAAGTCCAAGAAAATAGCTAGTATCTGCATAATATTTACTATGAACCAGGCATTATTCTAAGAAGTTTAAATTTATTGACCCATTATCCTCACACTATACAAAGGTGTTTTATTACCCCCATTATAGATGAGAAAACTGAAGCAGGGTGTTTAAGTGACTTGTCCCAGGTTACACAGCCCATAAGTAGCACAGCAAGGATTGAAACACAGGAGGTCAGTTAAAGCCTGTATGACACCGTTGATTACCACTGGGGCTCTTAGCCAAGCAAAGTCAGAACTTCTCCAGAGGGGAGCTCAAAGAAAAATTCTGTTAAGAATGAGTCCATAATTTAAAGATGTGCTAGCAAGCAATTCACCAAGAGTGTCAACAGACATAACAAAGACAGAATTAGAATCCTAATAAATTTGGCCAGGCGCAGTGCCTGATGCCTGTCATCCCAGCGTTTTGGGAGGCCAAGGCAGGAGGATCATTTGAGGCCAGGAGTTCAAAACCAGTCTGGGAAATATATCGAGACACCCATCCCTATTTTTAAAATAAAAAAATAAAGAATCCCATAAGTTTAAGATAACAGAATGGCAAATCTGAAAGAATGCAAAAAGGGCATTTTAAAATTAGACTTAGAAAAAGAATAGGACACTGTAAATGCGAGAATGGGGGTGGGAGCAGACTTGGAAAGAACCAAGTAAACTGTCTCGTCCAACACACAGTTAGGATTCCCAGAAGGAGAGAAAACAAAACACAAGGAAAAGGTCATAATGCCAGTAAAAAAGGCCTGAAAATTTTCCAGAATTTATGAAAAACATGAATGTGTGAAATCAAGAAGCTTCATGAATCCTGTACACACAAATAAAAAGATCATGGTGAATCTGCAGAAATTAAGGGTGAAGAAATATTCTTCAAGCAACCAGAGAGAAAAAAGATTACTAAAGACACTAAGATTTATCAGTACCAATTAACAAAAGGTATCAAGAGAAATGAAATCACACGTTCAAAGTACTGAGAGAACACAAGTGTCAAACCTAGAAATCTGTACAGTTACACGATCACCCAAGAGTGACAGTGGGCTGCTCTGCCTATGGAGGAGCCATTCTTTATTCCTTCACTTTCTTAATAAACTCGCTTTCACTAAAAAAAAAAAAAGAAAAAAAAAGTGACAGTGAAACAAAGCAAATGAATGTAGTTACAGAAGATGGCAATTTATACAAGATGCAATGGTTAAGATATTTGTATACCTAGGTAAATCTAAGCATGCAGAATGTGTAAGACCAAAATCATAATCAGAAAATATTATGCAACAAACACATATAGGAAGGGAGGAGAATAACCAAAAGTATTTTACAGTCCATAGGTTTGTTTTGGGGGACAGGGGGTTGGTTAAAAGGCAGTATTGACACCCATGAACTTTAAGTATAAATATTGATAATGTAAGAACAAGCAGTGTAAGATTAGGAAGCATAAACTGAGAAAAGGAGAGAAAAAATGAGAATATGAAAATGTGTATGTAAATTGGGGAAGCAACGGTAGAAATAATTTCAAATATATCTGAATAAATGTGCACATCATGGCACAGAAAGACTGAAAAGTAAACAGGTGACAAAACACATACTAGGCAAACATCAGGCAAAAGAAAGCTGGTATAGAGCTACATAATTATAAGACAACAGAGAATTGAAGGCAACATGCACTACTAGGGATAAGAAAGGTCGCAATGTGACACACTATTTTCCAAGACATAACAACTCTTGAAATTACATTAGCCAAACAATACTGTCTCTCAAGCTATATAAACCAAAATGTAGCAGACTTTTGGGGCAGAGGAAGACATAAACAAAACTACCGGAGTAAAACTTTTGAGCTTCAAAAAGCAACAGAAACAAAAGCAAAGAGATGAGCCAGAGACTAGTGGGATAATTTTCAATACACAGTATTGAAAAAGATTACTATCCAGAAAATAAAAAAGACCGCTAACAAATGAATAAGATAGACTTCACATGAGGATATAAACACACAATACACAGAAGAATGCTAAGTGACCCTCCCTCCAAAAATGTGAAAAGATGTTCAATTTTATAAGAAACGAGAAGAATGTAAGTAAAACCACAATGTAATACTCATATCCATCCATCTGGCAAAAATTACAAGTCTGACAATATTAAGTTTGGCAAGAATGTGGAGCAAAAAGATCTTTATCCACTGAAAGAGAAAGTAGAAGTAAGCTGAAGCCGTACCCATGCTATGGCCCAGCATTTCCATCTACAGGGATCGAGCATACTGAAACTCAGCCACATGCCTTCCAGTTGTGTGTTTAAGAACTTTAACTGCAGCACCATTTGTAACAGTGCAGACAAAAAAGAAGAAAAAACAGAATTGTCCCTTAGTAGAAGGTCAGACAAGGTTTAATCATACAATGGAATAAGACAGAGCAGTTAAAATTGATAAACTAGATCTGCACATATCAACATGGATAAATCCTGAAAACAACGTTTAGAGAGGGGAAAAAAGCAGCAAAACATATGTACAGTATATCATTCATGGATACTTATTTATAGATTTATACTTAGAAAAAATATAAAATACGCAAAAATAATTTCAGAATTGCAGTAAGAATTGGGGAAGGGATAGAGTGGGACTTTGGCAATTTCTGTAATATTTTAATCTTTTAAAGGAAGAGATCTGCAGCAAATATGGCAACATGTCCACAGTTTAATCCTGGTGTGGGTACACAGTTGTCTGTTACATTACTTCCTTTATGTTTGAATGTTGCATATGATACAGTATTAAAAATAAACTAATAAACTATCAAGTCTAACTAATATTTACCGTGCATTTTCCACTCGTTGAATCCCCCAAAGATCTAAACCATCTTCAGTTAGAGTTCCAGTCTAAAAAACAAAAAAGTACACATGCACAAAGTATGGATGATGCCTCAAAAAAACCCAAAACAGAAAAATAAAAAACCACCACACAGCATTAGAAACTATGCTACACATAACATGATGGAGTTCTACAGAGTTAAAAAAAGAAACAGGTGAGATCCCTGATAGAGAATGGCTTCCAGGACATATGGCTAAAGTGGGAAAGGGGGTGCAAACAATGCTCACAAGTCTTCTACGTAAGGGGAGAGGGGTATATATTTATGTGCTTGTACTATCAACAAAAATCAATGGAAGGCTGCATCAATTAACCTGTCTTATCAATCAGTAAAGGATGCCCATAAAGGAAGGAAGGATTACTGTACAGGGAGAGCCAAGAGGAACAGGTTAAAGTCTATCAGGAGGAAGCAATTGGCCAAATCCACAAGGTAAATGACCTGGTTTCTTCAACAAAATAATTGGAGATAAGGGGCAAGTAAAGGCAAATGTTACATGTTAATTGTAAGCAATGCAATCCCTATTTGGATTCTGACTGAAAAATCAATTAGTAAAAACTTGAGATTTGAGGAAATCTCAACTGGATATTAGAAAAACCAAAGAACTGCTAATTCTGTTCAACGTGATAGTGGTATTTTAAATATCTTATCCTCTAGGCACATATTGAGGGAGTTATGGGTGAAATAATTTGTCTGATGTTGTCCCCTTCAAAATGAGCAGATAGATAAAATAAGATGGACAATGTGTTGATAACTGATAAAGCTGGGTAATGAGTAAATGAGGGTTTATTATACATGCATCTTTTCTCCACTTTTGTCTGTTTAAAAATTTTAGTGAAGTTTCCAAAAAAGACAAGCATAAGTGAAATTTTTTGAACAGATAAATATGAAATAATCATGGCAGTATGTGACATATATTTTTCTAACAGAGCATGTTTCCCATTTTTTCTGTAATAATGAAATGCACAAAAATCAAACTCATATCACATCAGTTACCCAGAAAGTTTGATAGAAGATTTTTTTGGTCAAAGTTTAATTCTCAGAAAACTTTAAAGAAAATTCCAGCTCAGAAAAGGAGAAACTTTTCTTTTCTTTTTTTTTTTTGAGACGGAGTCTCGCTCTGTCGCCCAGGCTGGAGTGCAGTGGTGCGATCTCGGCTCACTGCAAGCTCCGCCTCCCGGGTTTACACCATTCTCCTGCCTCAGCCTCCCGAGTAGCTGGGACTACAGGCGCCCGCCACCTTGCCCAGCTAGTTTTTTGTATTTTTTAGTAGAGACGGGGTTTCACCAGGTTAGCCAGGATGGTCTCGATCTCCTGACCTCATGATCCGCCCATCTCGGCCTTCCAAAGTGCTGGGATTACAGGTGTGAGCCACCGCGCCCAGCCCAGAATCTCTTTTTAAACATTCAGTAGGTATCAAATATGCTGAAACAGGCAAAAAGAGATTAATTAAGAGGTTTCCTACCTGTTCTAACAACTATGGCTTTGACGAGTTCTCCGGTGTAGAAACGAGTCTGAATAACAGTTGTCCCACAAAACAAAGTATGTCGTTTATGTGTTTCTGGATTATACAATTCATCTCCCATTCCTTTCACATCCACCGAAGGATTTGGCAAGTTAGTCTTTGTCACTGGAACACTTTCTCCTTTTAAAAAAAAACAACAGTTTACAGTTATTAAACGAAAGCACAGGAATCAGTATCAAACACCAAAAAATATTGTTAAATATTTTAAATGCTACTATACTGTTTACAACAATCACTAAGAGTTGTATATGTGGATAACATGACTTAATTTTTTGTCTACCAATTTCCTCGCAGAGAAATATCAAATATTATCTTCCACAATAATTCCAGAAAGTGATTTGTGGCTCAAAGGTAGTATTTGTTTATATTTAGAAACAATTGTGTTGTTCAGTTTCAAATAATTTCAAAAAAGATTAAGTAGTTGCTACAGTCCATGCACCTGTTTTCTTATCTCTAAGAACTAACGGTAACAGTGGAGAGCACTGTACAAAAGAGATGTGAGGGCCTACCCCTGACCCACTCCTACACACACATACACACACACACACACACACACACACACAGAGAACAGAAAAGACAGGCAAAAAAGAGATGTGAAAATGAGTAACATGGTGGTTCTCTCAAACAACTACAAACAAATTTTTTTTTAAATTAATTCTCTGTAGCATTCACATTTCTTGCTTCAAAGAAGGCATGTGTGTCAGATATGTAAAAGTTTGTGTGTGAGATATGTATGTGTTTGTGTGTTTTAAGACATGACTTAACAGTCTCAAAATGTATTACATATAAATCATTTTCTAACCAGACTATGACAATTAAAAAAAAAAACTCACACGATTAAAATAAGATATTGGACAGGCACAGTGGCTCATGCCTGTAATCCCAACACTTTGGGAGGCCAAGGTGGATGGATCACTCGAGGCCAGGAGTTTGCAACCAGTCTGGCCAACATGGTAAAGCCCTGTCTCTACTAAAAATGCAAAAATTAGCCACGCATGGTGGCAAACACCTGTTAGTCCCAGCTACCGGGGAGGCTGAGGCATAAG